GCAGTAAGATCACCAAACAAGTATGTCTTCCGTCAAACTCGAGCATGCCTAAATAAATAGGACATCATAGCAGATATGCCCGGTGGGGGGCGCCGGTAGCAGACGGCCGTGCACCAGGCAAGATCATAGTACATATAGATAAGAGAAGTAATGCAAGGAGATGTTACAGTATCCCAATTGAGGTTCAGTACTGACAGCAGAGTGTTCTCATGGATTTTACTCCAGGTTTCAGCAGACAATTATACTTTCAGTAAGAGTTGCTACGAACAGTCTATCTAGCGGAAGAGATGTGTGGAGGAAAGTAACTTTGCAATTTGAGGAGTGCAGGAGCAAACAATATGCAGGTTCAGATCTATTGTGCTAACAAGTGGCACTCTTGATGCAGATCGTTATATTAGATACAAGTGCAACCAAGATGCTCAGGTGAGAGCACAAATTACAGGCAGCATACAATACATGCATAATAGCTTGCTAGTCACACATCATGCATTTCAGTTGTAAAACTGTGATCTCCTGCACATGCTCTGGAGATAAACATGTTGCTTATTAGATTTATGGTACTTGAACTTATGATTTGCATAAACATCTCCTTCACACTTGCTTAATACTGATGCATGATTTTTCTAACCATATTACTGAACTGCAATAACAATCCCCCAGTCATGTAAAACTGTAATTACACGTATTCCACGCCGGTGCCTACAGGTTGTAATTTCATACTGAATGGCAATATGATAGCTATCATGTCGGTCTTATAAAGTCTTCATCTCTGCTAGTAGACAACAGAGCATTTCAAAGGCATGTAAAGAACATTTCAAAGGCCCTCGCAAAAGAAAAAAACAGCATTTGGAAGGAGAATATCAACAACAGCCGAAATGGCCGTATAAAGAGTGATTGTCCAGCAATAGAGTATAGGGTGGTCTATGTGCAGTTTCATGTGCACATCTCAGCCTCACAGGAAACAGAGCATTCACTATAACTAAGAGGTGAAGCACCTAATTGCCATGTATTGCGTAGCACACAAGCCCTATCAATTATGACAGGAAGGGCTATCCTAGTGTGAGACGGTGAAAGAAAGGATTCTAACACACATAAGCAGACCAGGAAACATGAGCAATTCAATAACAAAAGGCATCATCAATCAATCAATCGGCTGTGCTGGTTGCGACAGCGGTAGGTCAGCTCAGATATGTGCCAGTGAAACCAGCAATAATCAATTCATTTGCATGTAAAATAACACATAAAAAACTGACAACTTGGGGCTTTATTTTCTATACTTTGCATATCTCACATACTAGTTGTCATCTACTCCCTCTTGCTCACTTTTATAAGATGCTGTAGCCATTTCAGACAGCAGTCAAAACAGTACAATGTCTGCTGTCTGAAACGTCTTATAAAAATGAACAGAGGGAGTAACCAGCAATGGTATCAGGCCAATGGTGTACTGTT